GGGGGGCGGAGGAGGGGGGGGGGCTCATGCCCTCCCATGCGCCCTGTACCTGTCACCTGTGATACCAACCCTGCAATGCAGGAAATGCAAAGCATCCCGGGATGCTGGGGGACTGCCAGTTACTTTGAATCTGGAGGGGATCTGGGACAAAAAAGTTCAATAAACCAATTTAACCTATATCAGTGAAGTCTACATCCATCCAGGCTTTTCTTAAGCTAGTTTCAACCATTTTTTAAAGTGATTTGTGTGCACTGAGCTCCTGTTGCATTACAGATTTGAACTGGTTTCTGATTACTTATACTAGTTGTGTGTAATTTCTGTCCCTAGCCTAAAGGTGCATCTCTACCCCATCTTCTAAGAGATGTTTTGCCATCTCTGAGACCTCTTGTTTCTCTCAGTTTGTATGCTGAGAGATGTGAGCCATCTCAGCATGGCTTAGAGAAGACAAGGTAGATGTGCACTTTTACAGACTAACTAAGATCTCTCTCTCTCACACAAAAGCTTCTGCTCATGCTGTTTCCTACATACATCATGAATTTAAGACTCATTTCTTGTGTTCAGCATTTCCTATTGAATATTTTGAGTAGGTCTCCACTAAGTAAACTGGCTGTTGTGAATCCCATCCCAAGATGCTTAATTCTATCCATACACCACATAGTGAGCACAGCATCACACTCATGGCTCTGGCTTCTACTCCTGAAGCCAGGTGTCTAAAAAAATAGGTACAGCAATGCTCAGCATCCAACTTTGAAGATATACTCCATTACCTTAAGTGGCTAAAGCTCATGCTTTTCATGGTGCAAGTCCAGGAATTCAAACCCCAATGTAGGATCAGTTTTGCACAAATTGTGGGTAAATAAAGAAGCTTAATAGTGATAACCTGCTGTCATATTAACCACTGGATTATACAGTTAAATTACTGAACCATCAGCTACTTCAGCTTTTCAGCTGTGACTAAAGAAAGCATCATGAAAAGCAAAAGGAGAGCTTTTGGTGACTGCCTAATAGGGCTGATTGTTGACTCTGATTTCACCATGTGTGGGATCAGGTCACTGAGATCACCTTAAATTATTTCAGTCTTACTGACAAATGTAGCTCTAATGTAAGCATAAGAACACCCCCCCCACACACACACACACAGACTCAGATGTTATGAATACAACAGGCTGCTACATTTGGCATGCTTAAGTTTAACAAGGAGATTCTACTAAATGGAATTTAAGAAATAAAGTGATCATGTCATTGCAGACTTCTGCAGTGTCTATGCAGAAGAAAATAACTGGATCTTGCAATGATTATTATTTAGATTACTTATCTAGACTAATTTTAGGTCCTAATTCTGATAACACACATACACATTTAAGTTAATTCACATGAGTTGTCCCACTGAACCAGACCTCCAAACCAAAATACAGCCATACATCACCACACAAAGGCACACACTAGACATAGGCAAAGGGTGCATCTACATGTGTGCTTTACTACAGAGTTGACTAATTAGCTCCACAGTAAAACATCACCATCTACATGTGTGCTAGTATTAGGGTGCAGTAAACTAATTAACTACTCTGTAACATAGTACTGTTGGGGACAGTACTACTTTATGGCGGAGTAATTGTGCCAAAACGCAGATGTTGATGGTGACAGGGGCTGGCTGAGGCACAAGTGTGCTAAAGTGTAGGGACCACTTGCCATCTAGCCAGCCAGCCACATGGCTCCAGACTCTCAGCACTCTCATGCCCCAGCCAGCCCATCTGCCGCCCAGGGCTGACCTCCTATACTCCTTCCAGCCCAGGGTTGCTCCACCCCAGCTCAAATTACTACTGTTCTGGGCACATGTGTAGATGCTGCACCCAGAAACAGTTTCCTCCAGCTCAAACGGCTATGGAGTTTATTGCATCACATTAACTGTACCTGGCAATGCACCCAGTAAGGCTGAATTTGGCACTGTTTGAGTAGAAGCATTAATGTGAGAGTGTGTGTGCACATGACATGCATGAGAAAAGGCAGAAACAACTACAAGGAAGGAGTAGAGAAAACCTAAGGATCCACCCAATCTGAACAAGTGCTGAAAATACTTTTCAGGTTAAGTGTTGATTGGGAAAAGGAATTTGGAATTGTGAGCAAAGACATTTCTTTGTTTCCCCGCCAAACTTGAATATGCAAGAGCTTGGATTTTTAGCTAAATGCTAGTGTCAAAGTGGCATGAACTCTTAATGTAGTACAAAAGAAGTCTTATTAGCCTGTCTGAATTTCATACTACCTGAAGTCTATACTGACATTAAATTTTAATTATATACAACTCTGCTGCACAATTCTATTGCTTTCATACCAAAAGACTGAAGTTCCATTTGTTTGGGTCACCAAAACTCATATATAGTTTCAATTATATTGTTATAGTATAAGTTAATAAGTATTTCTCTAATAGAAGCATTCTATTCAACAAGTTTAAAAGGACAGAAGTAAAATTGTTGTGACCTGATATTTTACATTATTTAAAATATATATATTTAAAAATGCTATTAAAAGTTTATTACATACATGAAAAATATTTGTCCAAATGTGTCAATTTAAGATTAATGCAAATGAATGTCAATCAAATTATGAACATAGATTTTAAATGCGATAGGCAAGACTATTCTGAAACTTATCTGAATGCTTTTAAAAGAGTATATTGTAAAGAATAATAATTTTAATATTAAGTAACAGCTTGACTACCATAACCATTGCATTCAATTTCTGAAAAGATAAGGCAAGTTTACACTTTATGGACAGATTCCAATGCAATAGATTACATATAGTGCCACAATTTTAGGTTTGATTCTCATTGGCACATATTAAACTTTACCTATTATAATCCCCCATTTTTCCTTCAGATGAAGTGGAAATAAACAAACACAATGCAGTAGACATGCTGATATCTCTGAAAATTTGTGATTATTTTATGTACATAAACACGCAAACTTTGTATAAATTTGCATGTCAAATTAGCCATCACTGCATGTTTCAATTATTCCAATTAATTTCACAATGGTTAATATGTTTTTATAAAAATATACTGTGGTTGTTATTCACATATGCCCTGTAGTACAATTTGCAAAAACAAAGTTCTAGTAATGAAACACTCTGCAAAGTGGTGCTTTTACTAGATTCCTTCAGTGAGCCCTTAGATTTGTGGATCAGCCAGGTCCTTTCCCAAAACCCCTATTCTCTTAGTATGTATTTCTTTCTTATACGTATCTGTTGTTTGGAAAATAACTATTAAAAACAAACCCAATCACTGTTTTCTTACCGCAGGTAGCTGTTGTTACTCGTGGGAAACTGGTGATGGTGATAGGGCTCAGGCTGGGTGTGCCAGAAAAGCATTTTAGGATGAGATGATACACTGTGCTCAACTAAGAGATGGTCACTGCTGTGATGGGGAAGAAGGAAAAAAAAATTCAGATTAAAGTTGCTGGCTGAGTTTCCTCTTGCACCTTTAGTCAGCTGCCTCTGCTATCTGTGAGTTTGCCAGGAATAATTTCCTCTGGGGCAGACAGCAGCTTCCCCTCCACCCACCTACTGCTTGTGCTCCCCCAGCTTGTTCTGCTTTCAGCTACTGCCCAGTTGCAAAGTTTAATTACTAGCTACTGTGACGTCAGGTGCAGAGCAGAAAGCAGCAACATCCAGCTGCTTATCTCCTCCCCTCTCTTCCTCACTGTGTGTTCAGGTGCAGAGTTGCTGCCACTTCTGGCATCCAGAAGAGGAATTTGCATTACAGAACAAAATAAAGCAAGAAGAACTTTTGATCTTTTTGCCATCTAGATTAGCTTAATGTGCCACCTTGCCCTGCCTTCAGTTATGGTTGCAGCTGTTTGTGTAGCCCACTCAAAATATTTGATCACCATAAGCTGCACACACATTGCTCAATGACAAAAACTGGGATCTAAGGTGGATAATGTGCATCAAGTATTTGCCTTCTTGGTAGAATTTGATGCTGTATCTCTTGCATCTGTTAGGTCAGTGGTCTCCAACCTTTTTAAGTAGGAGACCACCTTTGGCATTTAAAAGCAACCCAAGATCTACCCTGCGCCACCCCCACCCCCGCCCAGCAGGTAAGTCTGTGGGAGGCAGATGGAGAAAAAATGATTTGGGGCATGCCTCCTCAACAGGTAAGTCCCACCCGGCCAGGGCCCCACTCAACTTACCCCTGCTCCTGCCTCTGCGGCACTGTCCCTCACCACAGGGGCCTCGATCTAGCCCCAGCCCCTTCCCTCCCCCATAGACTGATCTGCTGGGCTAGGGCACATGCATGCATGCACACAGGCACTCAGCCCCATACCCCAGCCTTATCAACTCCAAGAGACTCCAAGATCTACCAGGGGATGGAGATCCACTGGTTGGTGACCGCTGCATTAGGCAATTGTCCACATCAGGGGTTTTCAACCTTTTTAAATAAGTGTACCCCTGGCAGCCCCCTTTTTAATAAATGTACCCTGGGGAGGAGTGGAGAGCAGCCAGACACTGAGCTGGGGTGGTGAGCAGCTGGAAGCAGAGCAGGGGTGTGGCGAGCAGCATCAGCACAGTGTCTGTGTGGCCCTGCTCCTGTGAGGTGGCAGCATTGGGTGGCGGCACTTCCTCCCCACCCGCCCCTGCATACCCTGGGACCTTTCAAAGTACCCCCAGTGGTACGCATACCCCTGGTTGACAACCCCTGGTCTATATGCAACCAAGTGGCATGTTGCTACCCAGTTTAACACTGCTCCTACTGCCTCTTTCCTCTCTCTCAAGATTAGGCAAATTCTCTCTCTGTGTTTCTAAATTGAAAGCTGCACTTTCTCATTATTTGAGGAAAATTGTTCTCTTTGGAACAAAAAGCCTCCTTTCATTTATCTTCTCTTTGCATTTGATTTCAGTGGTTTCTTTCTCTCGATTTTCATCGCCAGTTCTGACTCCTCGTATCTAATACCCCACATGTTGTTAGTTAACTGTACCACTTTATCTGTGGATTACTGATTTTAGCCAGTCGCTCCTAAGCCATGATTACAATTATTCACATTACCAGCATTGGAGGAAGTAGGAGGAAGCCTGAAGGTCATTTCAGTGACTTTGATTCCCCTTCTCCCCCTCTTTGAGAAGTGGTGTTCAGAAACAAAACGAAAGCTTATCACTCAGAACCCAGTCTTCCTGCATTTCTCTTTTGGCATTCACCTCCTACTTGCTCAGATTTGCTGTTCAGAATTTTTTTTTCTATTTTGATGTTGACTCAGACTGCTGAAAGCAGCTAGTTCTTGATTTGCAAAGGTAAAATGGGATGCCATTTGGATCACCTTGGTTGATAACACTGACCTGCAGAGGGCATCTGTTTGAAACAGAAATTTTGGCAAATACAACTTGTTTGGGCATGAGGCTGTTTTAAATTCTTAATCTGAATGAATAGCTCTAATGAGCCTTTCCTTTATTTAGAAGGTATTCCAATGTTGTAATACAACCAGTCATATGAAACTCAGCAGATCAAAAAAAAATTCAGAGAACACAAAGGGGACACTCTTATCAAAGTGAAGTGACCCTTACCATGAAACAGCACCGCCAAAACAACCCCCCAGCCCTCTCTTAGAATTTATTTTCATATTAATTCAAAATTTATTTTTGAGTTGGTTCTTACAGACAACTCGAAACAGCAACAAAAAAAAATGGAGGTAGAAACAAAGGGAAAGATAAATGAAAAAAAGAAAAGAATAGGTATTATTGTCCCAGCAGATATATACAAAGATGCAAGATTTTTTGTTGATTATTTCATTGGCTTTTATTTTTTTGCGATATGTTTTATTGGACTAACTCTAGCAAGGAGATATGTTAGACAAGCTCTTAAGCAAGTGTCCTTCCTCAGGTCTGAAACAGAAGCAGGTGCAATTAAGTACCAGATAAAATGATGACTCATGTTTAAGTCTATGAGTAAAAGAAAACAGGCACTTAAAGGAGTGGAGGACAGCTGTAAACTAGGAGCAAATAAAAGTTACCAGAAGTAACTTTGAAGTAAGAGAAATGTACTTGGATAATCTATTTAAACAGAAAGATCCTAGGACTACTGGCTTTGTATAGTTTACCCTGCCTTCTGACTATGGACTAACATCACTAACTACCTTCACGTGTGGTTTAACACATTATTCTTCTCTGCTTAGAGATGCTATAGGGAAAGTGTGTCAGAAAAAATCCTTATAAACTGATTTGATCCCAATTCATTAAATTAATGCTGTATTTTAATTGCATCTCAGAAACAAATAAAATAAAAGCAACCCCCAAAACTTCTTAATTTAGTTAATGTCTCTCACTTTCCCGAGTGGCAGTTTTGGAAACCTCTAGAAAAACTTTATGGATATTAGTATGCGCAGCCTCTTTTGATCATTGTCATGGATCAAAATCACTTACTAGCAGCGACGAATAAATAGCACTACTTGAGGATGCGACTAAAAACTTTCCATTTGGTTTGCTTCATCCAGTGGCAAGAGGTACAAATAAAATCACCCCATTTGATGTAGCTGTTGGAACTGACCTCAGGCAATAGTGCAAATATGCTGGGCCTAGTGTTCCTGGGCCCCATTACTCTTACTCTGTTTTCACAAAAAGGAAAGCAATCCCACATTCTTCCATCTAGAGGCAGCACTAATTTCCCTTCCCTCCTTTGAAGGCACTGGGTATCTCTTTCCTTAAATATATAGATCCCCAATGGAGGCAGGAGGAGGGAACTATGTAGAGGCCTCTTCTCACGCAGCTTCCAGGTCTCAGGACAGCTTGGCAATCTGTGGTGAGATGCTCTCTCCAAGACACACCAGCAGGCAGGCAATTATGGCAACAATGGTCACAGATCTTCTAACAGAACAGCTATTTGTTGGAATACACCAAATTGAAGACCAAACTTTCCCCAGGAATGAACTAGTAGTTTTCATAAAGCTCTTCAGAAAAATGCTTTTCAGGATCAGGACATGATTTCTGGTCAAAATAAGAGGAACTCCAGAATAGCCCACAGCTTAGCAGTGAGAGCACTCACTTGCGGGTGGGAGACCCAGAGTCAGGCCCCTATTCTGCTCGTTTCTTACATCCCTCTCTTACTTTTTTCTTTTTGCAAAAATAAAACAAAACAGTTCTTGAGTTCATCTTCAGACAGAAATGGAAGCTGTTCCAGAAACAAACTGAGAATTCAGCCAAGGAGCTGCAGATTAGTTCAATTACTGTCTTTTGAGCTAGAAAATGAGCATGGCTATTCCTACCCCTTCCTCTTGCAAATCTGGATCTCTGCTTGCCAGAGGGAGCAAGGCAGAGAAAAGCTCTACAGGTCATGAGTGAAAAGGTAGCATACTTCAGGGTCTTCTTTCCATACCACGTCTAACTATAATCTAAAACCCTGGCCTCACTTTGATCACAGAAGAGATACCACCACCACAGAAGAGCAAGTGAAGTCAAAATCATTATAATATATAGATGAAAAAATTAATGTGTGCCCATCACCAGTCTTTTACCTTCTGGCTGATTCCTCATCCAGAAGTCTTATTGCAGCCTAAGAATACATATAAACAAGGCCACTGCTTTTCAGTGATGCAAGAAAATCAAAGCTACTCCAAATGGAAATCTTGGATTATTTATTTCTGTCACTAAGCTACAGTATGCAGTAGCTTAATCTCTCACAATTGGTAAGGAAGCTGTTCCAACACATACATTTAGGTCTGCATATTCCTCAGTAGGTGTTCTTATGCCCTTACTCAAAGATCATACATACTGCAGCTTAAAGGGAGGAGCATGTAGAATAGAACTGTCGTTTTACTTTTGAATAAACTAATGTAAAAGCAAAATTTCTATAAAAGTTTAAAGTAAATGTAGTAGGGAGAACAGTGGCGGAGTGTAGGGGCTCCACTGGGGTGCATTTACATCCCCTGAGAGTGCTGGTGTTCCCTGACAGGCTGCATTCCTCGCTTAGGCAACGGGGGCTCGCCAGTGCCCTCCCCTCCCCCCCTGACAGCACCGACCAGGAAGTGGGAGCACCAGATGAAGCACCCTCCACCCCAGTCACTGGCTGGTCACTTGAGGGGCACTTCCCCCTCCTAAGGTGGCACCAGTTACCTGTGAGAGAGAAGCAGCTAAGATTACAGTTTAAAAAATGGTACCATAAGAAGTGATGCTGTACAATTTATTTTAGAGGCATGTGCCTGCACTGTCAGCCTGGAAAGATACTGAGTAAAGCTAAGGCTGCCCCCTTCATTGATCCAATTTCCGCTTCTCCATGAAGTGGTCCTCATGGAGGTTCTTTGGCTGGGCCAGAGTCCTGTCAGTAGCTAGGAGTCTATACAAACTCAAAGTTTTGTAATGACCCTGCCTCTCAAAAAGAAGCAGTAATCTGAATTGCATTGCAACACCACTTTCTTCAGCTTCACAAACATAAGCTTCTTTTCATTCCTTTTCCACAAATATAAATTTAGAACTCTGAAGCTGTATCCAGAAACA